GGAATGCTTTGCGTGTAAATAAAATGGCCCCGTCCGTGTAATATATTTTTAAACTTTTAGTTTTAAAATTATAAACACTAAACAGCCTACAGTATTTTTACAGTCTTTATTTTATAGTTAAAATATATATTTAATAAATAAAGTCTGATGTTAGAACTCACCGTGAACTGGACCAAACATGGTCACGAACAAAATGTTTTTGAGTAGAAACGTCAGACAGTTTGATGCAGACTTTGTTCTGCTTTAACAGCCAGCAGTGAGGAGAAGCTTCAGGAAGCAGAACATCTCAAACCTTCAGGACTGTAATAAAAATATTTTGAGTCGGGTTCGTAGAAACGTCTCTAACTTAGAGTTAAACGTGTTCGTCCACAGATCAGCTCTGGCCTCGGCTCACCAGGGTCAGCCCCTGCCCAAGACCCTCAGTGTGATGGAGAGCACGCCACAGGTGCGCGGGATGCACACCATCATCAGGTCCGGACACGCACACACATTTTACTCAATATCTAACTTAAATGTTGCTGTAGTTTCTGCTGCAGCAGAAACTACAGCAACATTTAAGTTAGATATTGAGTAAAATGAGTGTGTGTGTGTGTGTGTGTTTAGGAACAAGGAGACGAACCGGGACGAGTTCATCTTTTACTCCAAGAGATTAATGAGGCTGCTGATAGAACATGCCCTCTCCTTCCTTCCTCTCAAGGTCAGCCTTTATTTTTATTTCCTTTTTTTTAAACGACCTCTGCGTTGATAAAAAAAAAAACAGAAGTTCTGTTTAAACCTCGTTAACCTTTTTAATCACCCATCGACTTTAATTACWGCGCAAACAACTTTTTCATTACTTTACTGCAAAACCTGAGTTGTATTTCTCCTCCTGCAGCCTGTTTTCGTGGAAACGCCTCAGGGTACCACGTATGAGGGGAAGAGACTGAGCGGCAAAAGAGTACGTTTGTGAATCCATTTGATGTTGATGCATCTTTGAATTTTATCAGCATTAGGCAGTGGTGGGCACCAGCCCGCTAAAGCGCAAATCCGTTAATTGCGGACCTAAATATTTCGTTTGCGCTTTAGCGGTCTTATTAATTTTTATAATTCATAAGCAGATTTGCGCTTTCTAAAATTAAAATGCAGTACCGCTAATAACTAATTATCTACCAGTCATCATTATGTTGAACAGCAGAAGGTATGACTGTCAATGAATCACAACATGTGATCTATCCAACAGCACCCCTCCCAGATAAACACGTGAAGGTATACATCCTGCTGACTGTTGCTTTGGGTCACGGTTCTCATT